TAAATACAAATTGGTTTAAAATTTATGATTTAGTAATAATAGAACATAAAAATTAAAAGTGAAACATTAAAAAAGAATATTTATATAAAACAGATCAATATAAAAAAGAACTTATTTATCAAATTGCATCTCATTTACACTGTAATCTCGTCGATTAAATAGAAAAATTACATCATTCAAAATTAAAAGCTAGAATTGACTCCTTTTATATAAGTCAATTAAATTAACCACACCGTCTTAATCATTATCTAAATACTTTTAAAATGATATATAATACTTCTATGTGAAATTAAAACTTCTAAGGAAAAAACAATTTAAATAAATAAATAAAAACCTTAAATCTTTCTGTTAATTAAATTATGAAAGTGTGTTAGTAAGCTTATTTGTTTGTCTGTTACATCTTCCTGCTTAACTCAATAAATCTTTACAAAATTTGCCAAGCACATTCGATTTGAGATAGAGAAGGACATATCTGATTCTATCTCACTCTATCATACACCCTAATCACGCGGACGTACACACTGGTAGATACCAGTGTCACATAAACATTAAGAAGTTTATCTAACTAAATACTCATGTAAAAGGGACTTTCAGTTTTATAAGGACTAAACGGATATACTTAGGTGAAATAGTAACCGGAGTGGTAGGCAATCAAATTACCGGCTCCCATTCGCCCGGTTACAGCTAATAATTGTTCTACCTACGGTTATGTTATGGGAGACAGGCCGACACCGAGCGGCGGTACTTACCTGACCGGTGTTGGGCCACTTTGAGACACCTTTTTTATTAGAGTCGTAATTTTTAACATCCCTACTTTGGGGTTAAGTGGGTAGTTACAGCAACTTGCTTCTGAAATTTTAGTACTCTCGTTGATTAACTTGTTATCTTTCTACCAATCTTTGTAAATGTTATGCTCATTTTTTTAGTATTGGATGAAGTATATATGTGTAATATTGTTTACTAGCTACTGACCGCGGCTTCACATGGGTGTACATGTATTATATATATGAACATTCCTCTTGAATCGCTCTATAAAAAGAACAGCTTCAAAATCCGTTGTGTAGTTTTAAAGATTTAAACTTACATGGGGATGGACAGACAGCGACGGCGACTTTGTAATGATAATGATGAAGTTAATTATTATTCAAAGAACCTTTACCCAATACTGAAACACAAATTAGGCTATCTTTGTATATGCTATGCTAATTTTTTATAATTGCATGAACTAAATGTGTGAAATGTTGTTTAAGTTAATTGTCATTCAAATCTTGAATTTTACCTAGTAAGTTATTTATTTATATATTTTGTTTTTTTTTTGTGAGGTAAGTAATAAACTATATTTAATATTTAATAATTCACCTGTAACAGAATTTTAATAATAATTTTTATATGTTTCAATCATAAATGCTTTAATAATGATAATCATATCATATATCTCTTAAATATGCAAAACTTAACGTTTTTGCAAATGAGCTTGTACTAGTTTACAAAAAGTTTCGCTCGCATCGACCCTTCACAGTAAAGGAAGGGGACCGTAGCAACATGCTTCTGAACTATTCTGTTACCCTGGTAGCAATACTATAAGTAACACGTGACTTTACAATTTCTATGCAATTTTATGGGGTGAGACAAAACACCTGCTCATTTTTTTTTATTTTACTACCATCCCCATTCATGTTAGTCATGGTGTGGTGGTGAATTTACTCTTCTATTTTTATTAATGCCTAGTACAGTAACACCATAAGGGTTGAAAGCTTGTTGTTGAATAAATTACAATGGGGTTGGAATTCTAAACACCAATGGGAATTAACAATTTTTTTTTATAAAAGCCAAGGAGATTGGAACGAACACGAAGCGTATTTTTTTTATAAAACTCTCATAGTATAGAACAATGAATCTCTGAATTGTTATGGAATCTATAACAAAAAAAAAGCTTGTTAGAGAGAGAGAGGTTAGGCTATTTTTCATGTTATTTGCTGACATCATTGTTAAGGAACACAAAAGAACCGAGTACTAGGCGCGCAGGAGCTATACAGAGATTGACCGATCGCGCAAATTGAATGTCCGTCGAACACGACAGGGACAACACCCCATTGTCCCCGACGGCTTTTCAAGATACAGCCAATATTTCACTCGGACACAAAACGCTCTCTCTGCAGATTTCTCGGGCACCAAAAGACACGTACGAATACCTATCTCGTAATCTTATTTGGGTGTGAACTCTTGTCGCTGGGCATAACAAAAGGAAATGTCGCTGTAAAATTCTAAATAAATTCCAAATGCTAACGGAGCATCCATTTGAATGTTTGAGATTTTTTATTAATGGCCAAGTCATACAGTTATTCAATTACTGAATTCATAATGCATCTTTTTACTTATTTAAACAAATGCTCGTTACACAATACAATCTTGCTTTATCATATATTCCATGTACTTATGAATGCCGGGTAGGAAAAAAATATTTTATTAAAATTATTATTTATTTAGATATACACTGTCAGATAGATAGATAGGTGGTATGTTCTGTAAATGATATGAAAATAACATATAAATTTTTATTGAAATTTGCGTCATATGGAAAATATTTTTTTTATAATTGTATATAATTTCCAATAGTAAATATAGAACAAATATGTATTATAATATACTAGCTGACCCCGCAAACGTATTTTGCCCTATGAATTAGAGAAATTATGGGTTATACTTGACAACTGATATAAATACATAAACCTGTATTTATATCAGTTGTCTAGTATAACCCATAATACAATAACTGATGTCTAGTCCCAAGCTAAGAAGACTTAGCTTGGGATCAGACCTCAGTTGTGCTGAGTTATTATTATTACTACTATTTTAATTATTTATTATTCAATTAATTTAATAAACAGCACAATAAATACGTTTAAAAATTGCTATAATTAGTGCAAGTTAAATCTAAAAATAAATCTTCTGTTTATTTCTAAATATTGACAATAAAAATAATGTTCCTATTTATTCAAGACTAGCTACTCGCCCCGGCTTCGCCCGGCTGTACATGTATTATACATATAAACCTTCCTCTTGAATCACTCTCATTCTTTCATTTATAATTTAAGAGCTACGCTCTTGTCGGTAGAGCTCTCGCCACTTTCCGCGATCTTCCATCATGCTCTTTAATTCTTGATACGACCTGTGAATGACTGTGAATGTCTATTAAAAAAACACTTCAAAATCCGTTGCGTAGTTTTAAAGATTTAAGCATCCATAGAGACCGACAGACAGCGACAGCGAGTTTGTTTTATACTATGTAGTGATTCACGATTTTGCATACTCATCGCTAGAATACAGGTATATAATAAGGTGATATATTATTTATGTATTTGAATGAAGCGTGGGTCGAAGAAAGGATTCGATGAATAGCTTGTACAACATAGAATCCCATAAATATACCGGCCAACAAATGTATTGATGCGGTTATAGAAATCGGATTATGTATCCATTCTTGTTAATATAATTTCATTTCCGTTTCCTATTCTGATATTACTCATGTAACTAGAATAACAAGCAACACACTTGTCCGTAAGTATCTATTTTTTTCTATATAAATTAACAATATAACTTATTGTTCAGCAGAGAATGTGAAAACCCTTCAATTGAACGCCCGTAAAGTTTTCTACCTACCTAAATATATATAACTCAAAGGTGACTGACATAGTGATCTATCAACGTACAGCCCAAACCACTGGACGGATCGGGCTGAAATTTGGCATGCAGGTAGATGTTATGACGTAGGCATCCGCTAAGAAAGGATTTTGATTAATTCTACCCCCAAGGGGATAAAATAGGGGATGAAAGTTTGTATGAAACTTTGTCAATTTTAAACCGATCGTGCTGAGACTTTGCATGCATAAAGCTACTATGACATAGGTATCCCCTAAGAAAGGATTTTGATAAATACCACCCCTAACGGGACAAATTAACGCGAGCGAAGCCGCGGGCAAAAGCTAGTTAGTGATAAATATTTATAGCAAGTACTTAGGAATGTCAAGATAATATTTTTTAACTTACACAGAAACACATTTTTATATGTATGTACGTACATATGGATGACTTTCGCAGTATATTGAAACGTGATTTACTAATTGTATTCACCCTCACCTCACCCTTCTTTATCTTTGGCTCTGACCTGTTTAAATGTTTAACTGTATTGTTTTTAAATAACCACTTTAATATTAAAGATAAGTTCATGAGGTATCTATTATTGATTTAATAACTATGTAATATTATATATATTGTAAATAGAAATAATCTTTATTCAAATAAACTCATTACAAGCACTTTTGAATAGTCATATTTTGGTTCTACCACTCATTCGGAATGCAGATTCGTCACTAGAAGAATGAGCAAGAAACTTGTATGTTGCTCTTTTTAATAGATTATTAGTGTAATCAGATAATATTGTCAGTGCTATGGATTTTAAGTTTTTCTATAAAAACATTATTATCGTTAACGACCTCTTTACGTCCGATGGTCGCGGGTTCGATTCCTCGCAGGGCACAAACATTTCTATTCATAAAGTACTATCGTTTGTATCGGTCTGGGTGTTTTCTATGTACAATATGTATATATTTACGAAAAAAAATTATCTATGTATTTGTATCAGTTACATATCTAGTACTCGTAACACAAGCTTCAGATAGCTTAACTTAGGACTAGATGGCGCTGTGTGAATTGTCCTGTGATTATTATTATTATTATATATCATATTTTATAATTAACTCATAAAAATATCTAATTATAATTATAATAATGCCACAAATAGTTACATCCTAGGTCTTGCCATCATTTATCATCAGATGAGGTAAGTCCAAGCGCAAATCCATTATTTATAAAAAAAAATGTTTAATCTATATATATTTTTTTATTATAGTTACACCCTGATTTCCATAGACTGAAGGTCCATGCCCTAAGTTAAATCTATATTAATGTCTGTAACTAACCTATGATTTGTTTGTTTGCAGTTGGTCGGCGGCGAGTTTGACATGGAGTTGAACTTCGTGATACAGGACGCTCAGAATATTCAACACATGCTGGAACTACTCGACCACTGTCCGCCGAGTTTACAGGTCTGTCACAGTTGGTTAATTATATCAATGAACTAACTGAAAAAGATATTATATAAATTGTGGAAATTATAGTCAAACTAGCTGAGCCTGCAGTTTCAGCCGTGTTTAATGTTTATACATAAAAATTACGTGTCACGTTGTTTGTCCGCGATGGACTCCGAAACTTGCCCTGACTGACTGGACTGAATGGATTGCAAAATTGATTTGCATATTGTGTGCAATTTGATCCAACTTGAAAGATGAAATAGAAATAGAAATAATCTTTATTCAAATAAACTCATTACAAGCACTTTTGAATAGTCATATTTTGATTCTACCACTCATTCGGAATGTAGATTCATCACAAATAGAATGAGCAAGAAACTTGTGTGTTGCTCTTTTTAATAGATGTTTTTTTATATAAATAATTACAGTGTAACAAGTAAGAGGCATGCGATAATCAACATAGAAATCGCTACGCACTCATTATTAGTGTAATCAGATAATATTGTCAGTGCTATGGATTTAAAATATTTCTACAAAAACATTATTATCGTTAACGAATTCTTCAATTTTATAGTAAGCTTTTTTGCAAAGCAAGTGTTTTATTTGACATTTAAATCTTTTTTCTGGCAGATTTATAATATAATAGCTTACATATGATAACTTACATCTCAATTTATAGTTGCAATATAATTTTTTCAAGAACCTTAGCTACAACCACGCGTGGTCGGGTCTACCAGTTTCAATATATAAATATCAATAACAAAAATAGTCTGTGTGTTATTCTGAGCTATATTACTGTAAAGTTTAATTAAAATCAGTTCAGTAGTTTTTGCGGGAAAGAGTAACAGACATCCATTTTGACAAACTTTCGCGTTTGATATGAAATAAGTTCATACTTATCTTATATATAAAATTCTCGTGTCACAGTTTTCGTTCCCATACTCCTCCGAAACGGCTTGACCGATTCTCATGAAATTTTGTGAGCGTATTGAGTAGGTCTGATAATTGACCAACATCTATTTTCATCCCCCTAAATGTGGGGTAGTCCACCCCTAAATTTTTTATTTTTATTTTAAGGCAAAACAACGATTGCCGGGACAGCTAGTTTAAGTATGAAATAAAGTGTGATGCAAACGAACTTGTGCGGAACTTCGTCCATATCATACTTCCTTGACATTTATACAGTATATTTCGCCCAATTTATATAATATCTTTTTAAACTATAGCCTATGTGTTATTCTGATGTATGAGTTATATTACTGTTAAGTTTCATCAAAATCCTTACAGTTCTATTAGCTTTTTTCGTTTATTCTTTAGTTAAGTAAAAATATATATGTGTTGTAGATAGTTAATACAATAAATGTGTTTGTTTATCGCATTGACAAAAAGCTATATTACTGTAAAATTTTATCAAAAACCATTCAGTGAGTTCTATCAGCCTTTTTCTTTCTATTGTTCTATTTTTTCTTTTCTTCTTTAGTTCATAATTTATATGTATAAGTAAAAGTACTGAAAGTATATGAATGTTGTAGTCAGTTATTTCAATAAATTTATGCTTGTCGCATAGGAAAAAGAATCATATGTCAGTAAACAAACAAAACTAACTATTATTCGTAAACTGTTGTGCCCACTTCAGTTAAAGCAGCCGTTTCATTCTGTTCCATTGAAAAAGAAAGGGACAGATGCCAAGCGCATTGTGGTTATTATACGCCGAGTAGTTTTTGTTGCACTACTCACTGTCCTTTTTTTCTTAAGTTTCTGCTTACGACGTCTTTGTCATTTATGTTGTTCTGGTAACTAAGTAGTCCAAGTTAACCCTTTAGTAGTTTATTTTATTGTTATCATCTACTTATGCACCTTTTTATTACGTGCCGATGTTTTTTGTATACATTTCCTAAACACTTATGCTATGCTAGTATTAAATGAACTCGTTAACCAATTTCTTTTTGTAATAAATAAATAAATAACTATGTACCGTGAATTAATTATACTGTGTAATTAAAAATGAATTAAGAACTCATTCTAAGACCAACAATGGGGAAAGGAACGAGTACTTGTAATTAAAATGTAAAAGTATAGATGATTAATGAAAGGAAAACAACTTTATGTGGTACCCTTTTATCCTTATGTCTTCAACAGAAATCGTACATTAGATACTGAACAACTGAATTCTAAGCAATCCTGCCCATTTTTAAATATATGGGTAGCTGTGCCCTCAGTTTCATACCCGTGAAATTTATAGCCTATATGTCATTCTGATCTATAAGCTGTATTACTGTAAGGTTTCATCAAAATCCGTTTAGTAGTTTTTGCGTGAAAGAGTAACAAACAGCCATCCATACTCACAAACTTTCTCGTTTATCATCATTACATAGTATAAAATAAACTCGCTGTAGCTGTCTGTCCCTATGTTTGCTCAAATCTTTAAAATTACGCAAATTCAAGAGGTTTATATGTATAATACATATTAAATACGTTTCCTCCGATTAAAGAGATGTTTCTATGAATACATCTTAAAGTAAGGGTGTAAACGAGTTCTTTACGATGGCAAAGATAATGTTATAGGTGAAATGTCAATAAACCCTGTTTTGTTCTGAAACTCTTTTAAAACTTAATTATTTTTTTTTATTTTAAATAAGGAGTCGTTATTATTATGTACATTTTAATTAACTTATTGTACGTTTTAGTACACTACTTTATTTCTGATGGTCGCGGATTCGATTCCTCGCACGGTACATACATTTGTATTCATGAGTATGATTGTTTGTATTTGTCTGGGTGTTTTCTATGTGTATTGAGTATGTATTTACAAAAAATGTATGTATGTATGTATTTATATTAGTTGTCTAGCTACATATCTACCCATAACACAACCTCTGCTTAGCTTGGCACTATGCGGTATGTATATAATTCATTACATAGTATAAAACAAATTCGCTGTCGCTATCTGTCCGTCCCTATGTATGCATAAATTGGACGGATTTTGAAGCGGTTTTTTTTAATAGATGGAGTGATTCAAAAGGAATGTTTATATGTATAATACATGTACACCCGTGCGAAAGGTGAGTAGCTAGTATTTAATATAATTACTGAAAAGAAATAAAAGTTTGTACTAGTCCGCTATAAACTAGTTCGCCTATCAACGTGACCCTGAAGGCCCTAGTATTTTTTTTCTATAATGACCAGCCTAGCTACCTTGGTGATTTGGATATGGTGGACTCGAAATGTCTAAGTCACCTAGAGCACATATAATATTATAATAAATATTACATATATCCTGGAGTATAGTAAATTAGTGAGAACCACTAAGGAATCATAAATGAATGAGAAGTGCTTTATCCTTATGAAAGAACAATATTTTAACAAAAGTAACATTTAATATCAAACTTAATGTATTATGATATGAGATCCTAATCCCCAAAGTCGACGTGCAATCTGCGAACCATCGTTCCCTTGACGCGAGTTAAAAGGTTTCATCTACTTGCTGTTTATAATCTCCTGGTAATAAAACATGCCGCATGTAGGATTAAATCCAGCCATTGCGTCGTAATTGTAATTTAAATAAAATACACGCAAATCCAATGCTTAACTTATTTTAATATTAAACATACATGAAAGCAGAATAAAATTCCCTATTATTCTTATTAAGATTATTTCTTCATTATAAGTTTTTCAAAATCTCATACACATTTTTATATTATTCCTCTAACTCCATTATAAGAAACTTTAATAGCTCTTTTTTTTATTGGATAAATATCACAAATTTAAGAAGATTAGTGTATTTTTTTTATTGAAATCAAGTCTTCAGTATCGAGAAAATAAAGCCTTTTTTTTTCAGACTACTCTAAGGCTGTTGGCCGTAGCTGGCCTTTACAGGTTCACCGGACGATAGGAGGCGAGTGCAGATGGCACTTCAAACCTACAGAAGGACTTATGGAGCGGCTGAAGGTCAACTCCCTCCTGATGGATACGACTTTAGTCTGAGGGAACCGTTAGGGTTTCGAACCTCAGATCAGGCCGTCGTAAATTTCGATCCTGGACGGGGGATTAATGGGGCAATAAAGTCTTTTTTCAATTTGTTATTTTATACAGTACTAGCCCCGGATTTGCATGGGTGTGCTTATATTATACATATAAACCTTCCTCTTTAATCACTCTATCTATTGCTGAAAACTGCATTAAGATCCGTTGCGTAGTTTATGATCTAAGAAGTACACGCACAATAGCCCAAATGAGAGACATAACGCTGAAGATAGAGTTCATATTACATTACAAGATCTAAGAGGACAGTGAATTTAAAAATTTGTCGCTTCATTATTACTATTATTACATGTTAATTGGTACAGCCTATGCTGTAAATAATATAAATGACGCAGTGGAGTAACTTGAAACAGTCATGCTCGCTATAAAGTTCAAACTTGTGGCACCGTGGTGGGCCGGGTCGATGTGCTCCCTCTAATATGGTTGAGTGCAATGATGGCTGGCTCATCCGTCATATAGTGAACGGGTGCTGCTTGTGGAGCCAGGCCAGTCTTTTTGGGTTGCGAACACTGATTAGAGATTAGACTATTTGCTTTTACAATAGCATATGCTGGTGGTCACTCTATTCTCCCAAGTTTGAATTTAAAAATTATTGTAAAGATGTATTGAATTTAAAAATTAATCTATATTATTATAAACATGTATAATATTAATTTGAAAAGATTACGAGCTGAGTTTCTTGTCAGTTCATCTCGAAATCATGCCGAACTGACGGTAGATTTGACACAAGAGTCTGTAGTAGACCTACATGAATAAAGATATATTGAATTTGAATTTGAATTATAAAACAAAGTCGCTGTCGCTGTCTGCCCGTCCCTATGTATACTTAAATCTTTAAAACTACGCAACGGATTTTGAAGCGGTTTTTTAATAGAGTGAATTAACAGGAAGGTTTATATATATAATACATGTACATCCGTGCGAAGTCGAAGAGAGTAGCTAGTATAATATAACCTGTACGTATGGTGGCCAAT